CTGTTAAAAGTTTCTAAATAACATTCACAGTTGATAACATTTTATAGCTACATCCTTGGAGAATCTGACAGGCTGCCTAAGAGATCCCCACAAAAAGCTCCTCATTCTCCTGTACTGTGAGAAACTGTACAGGTAAGACGTTTATTTAATAGAGAGAGAAGAAAAGGAAAAGTTAATTGAAATTAGATGTTATACCCTAACTTACCACAGTGAAGATGGAAACAGATAGATTAGTCTTGAAACAGCATTTTTAGTAAATAGCTAAAGCTGGTATGAACAGTAAATATTCTTTACCTTAAATTATCTCTGCACTCCACTTTTGTATCTTATCCATTGTTCCCAGGGGTTTGATGCTGGAAAGCCTTAAGAGAGTAAATGCCATCAGTGAGCTGTATCAGGTTCCAAACACACAATCCTGTGGTTCTACCAGGGTGAGGTAACAGGACACAGCACGTGGAGCAACTGCAGTACAAGGGAGAGGGGACAGCTGTAATTCTGACAGCTCTTTCTAATCTCCTATGATCATTCCTGAATTCAGAAACTTTGACAGAATTACAGACTATATTGTGAAGGATGAACAAGGCTGTACAGACAGTCCTGGGCACTTAGAAACCATGACAAGTTTCATCACAACAGGGGTAAGATCTCCATTCACCCTGTGCTTTGAGTGTGGCAGACAGTGTAGTGTCTCAGGTATTTGTCATTTAACCACAGGTTATGTCCCTCTAAGACTCACTAAACCTCACAGACTGGGAGGACAGAGGCTGTGCCAGCTCCCAGGGACATCAGCCTGCTGGGGAGATCCTGGGCACAGCGAGAGAAATGCACCTCTCAGCACAGGGCTGGCAGCCCTTTGGTAGGAAACCAAAAGCAACTCAGCCAAGTATCATGGGGGACAAAAGAAGTTTTCCAAGGGCAGACAGGACTGCTCCAGATTTTCTCCAATAACAAAGGTGAGAAATGAAGAACCAGGACACGTAGTTTTGGCTGAGGCAGCAGTTTGCAGAGCTGTAGTTTACACTGTGCCCCATACGGATTTGCAGTAAATCACCCATAATCCTGCCATTATCCCACTATTAATGTGAGGGTTAAGAGAACTCACAAGGTGAAAAGCTGAATGTGTTCCCTCCACCCACCCAGGAACTGTCTCAGCTCTCGGGAAGGTGTGTGGGACAGTGCACCCTTCTAGAAAAGGCAGCTCCACAAAGGCAGTGCTGGTCACCAGAGCTACTCACCCCTCGCCACCCGGAGCTAACCAAGCCAAAAAACTACCCTCAATGCACTAGACAGGTCAGAAACAACATGGCTTTGTTTTTCTGAATTGGTTTTAACACTATTTTTCAAGAAAATAAAGTTTAATTCTGGGGGTTGTATGCTCAGCATCTTTTTTTCATCCCAAAACTACTTTCTTATTAGATATATGAATTAATACATCTAAGGCATGGCGACAAAAGGTGGCTTTTTGAAAATGCTAAGTAGTCTTCACGTGTGTAATTTAGGTTTGTATTTGACACTATACCAAGAACAAAACATAGTTTGACAAGGTTAGATGAAGGTGCTGAGCACAGCAGTTTGTAAGAGAAACTTGGGCATGGCAACACAACTCTGCAGATGTACTAGAAAGGAATCCCTGCAAGAACCTTCCAACACCCTGCTTAGTATTCAATAAAACCTATTAGGACAATCACTTTGACTTCTAATATGCATTGTCTCGTACATCACTGGGTCATTATTCTTTGTGAACATGTTGTCAGTATTTAATTCAACTAAGTTTGTATCCATGGCAATGGTTAGGAGAAAGCTAAAGAAAAGGGAATGTAGTCATAGGCCAGCAGCTCAGTAACAAAAAAAAATACAGCAGCCTGCTAATGAAGTGAGAAGAGGTGAACAGGAGTGAGGAGAATGCCAACAAACGAGGAGGGAGCTGTAATTGCAGTTGTGAGGGAGGACAGAGAAATGTGGGAGACAACCAAACTCCAGTCAGACTGTAATTTGGCAAATCTTGTATTTTTAGCACTACTAACATTTGGTGGTTGCTTCCAGTATTCCAGTAAATACAATCAAGCTTGCAGGGACATGCTGTCGAATTCCTTGGCACATCAGGTCTGTCAGAGTGAAGTGCTTATCTACATGAATGTCCTGTGCTGTTTTATCTTCCACAGAACAGCAAAGCAACACAACCCTCACCTCCCAAGCAAATTCACTTACAAGGGGCTTAAAAGGTTTCAGACCTTCCTTAAAGGATAATTCAGGTGTCCAGAAGGTAACAAGGCCCACATTAAAAACTGCCACTTGCTGGAAATGACTGACAGCAGAATAAAATTGTGACTATCTTTGCTATGTAAATGACTTACTATTGGCAGCTCTAGACGAAATCCCAGGTTATTAGTCTACACAACTCTGATGCTGATCACTAGAGAAAACTATCTATCCCCATCAGTAAACCACCAAGAATGAGCTTTAATGAAATTCACCCAAACTAGAAACCTATTTGGAGATATTTTCCAAAATTACCACAGGCTATACAGGTTAATGAAGCACAAAACACACAAGCATTTTTTAGTTTCAGGTTTCATTACAAAAGAAGCTCTTATACCCAGGTTTTAGGGCAAAAAGAGTTCCTCCAGCTGTTAGTAAATCAGTCAGCTCAGTATTAGAGATTATAATCACATCTCATTCTAACAGTGCCTTATGCCTTCCAGGTTTTAATTCTGAGACTGAGTTGAAAGAGATTAATCCCAGCACAAGCTATACTATCATCTTCTTACGAATTTTTCTCAGGTACAGACTGCAGTCTTCAATATACAAATTGCCAGCTACTTATCTCCCTTCTTGTTTAAAATGAGTTAATTGTTTCTTTCACAAAGCAGTAAATGCACTCTAGTAACAAAAAGTGTCAAATCTGCAATGCACATGAAAGCAACTGAATTCAGTCTGTTTAGAAACCTGTACTGTTAAAATTCCTTCTGCATGACTGCTCTTTAAACAATACATCTGAAATCGACTAAGCAAAACCACAGAAGTTCTTGTAAACTAAGCATCTTTGTCTGCAGTAAGATATTGTTGCATTAATTTGCGTAACACAATTTTGAAATCTCTTTACCCACTAAACACAATTCCCTTACATGCATGAGATTGCACACATCATCTCATATCTTTCTTAAATAAAGCGGCCAAAGCTCTTACTTTTAAGAAATTATCAAGAACAGAAAACATCTGTTGCCCCAAATATTTGATGGACTGGAGAAGGAGGAAGCATTCATTCACAGTGGCAGCTGAACATATGTGGGTTACCATTACACACAGTATTAGTTTAGCTCCATATTTTACTACTTTTGCCACAATAGACAAACTTGATTTTGGTATGTAAACAGAAGGACTATCTCAGAACAATTTTGTGAGAAGCTGAAAAAGATCAATTTGGACAAGCTTACTTCTTGTAGCACACGGTAATGTAAGATTACAGATACATGGGCTAAAAGGTGGACTAAAGCTTTTTCAATTTAGGAGTTCTTCCAACACCACATTTCTCTTCCTTATTTCCACAGTGTACTTAAAGCCATTAAATATGGTCCTGTGGCCTCTGAAGCATGTAATTACTAAGATAAAATATGAAAACCTCTACTTGTCTTTCTGTGTTGCCAGCCTTGAGGCTGCCAAAAGGAGAGTGCACTGTGCTGTGTCCCCTTGGGCTTTGTCAGAAAGATTTTAATTGTCCAGACAAATCAGAGCAGATATGCACGGCTCCACCTGCTACCTGTAAGATTTCTGAAGTTACAAAAAGAACAGGGCAATGATAAAACTTACCCATAGCTCCAAGAGCAGCAAGGAGACACATTCCATGCTGCTGCAACTGGCTGGAATCCCTCCTACATGTCATTACAAATGAAATAAAAACCCCACAATGACTCCAACACTCAAAGCACAACCTCCTAAAAAAGAATTCAGAAGTAGAAGTAGTTTTAGGAATAGTCTCCTCTGCAGGTTTTCCTTGCTCTGGGGTTGGTTCACAGGCAGTTGGGCCTTCAGAACATAGAGCAGAAGTCCAACTGTACTGTGATTCTCTCTGGAATTTTTGGGGTCATGTACAATTTTTCATTGAGTTCAATATTCAGCCTAGATTAGTCAAAAAGAATATCTTACCCTATTTTTATTCAAGGAGAAACATTCAGCTTGCTTATTCCTTAATTCTTTGCAGTGCCCTGAGCTTCCACACTGAACAGAATTAGTTCTACTGAATGAATTCATCAGTTCTAGCAGAAGCTAAGTTGTTAAAAAATATATTCTCTCATTTTTCCAAGTTATTACTAAACTTGGGATTGCAAACTGAAAGAATGGACGCCAACTTTCCTTTTCTGCCTATTCATAGGAACAAATACAGCCCAAATAAATCCCTTTCCCTAAAGAGTGTTAGCAATGATCAGGATACTGCCAGTATCACTCATGTTGCAAATCAGGCAAGAGGGTTTTTTTCTCTTAGATTTCTAGTTCATCTTTGATCATTCAGCTTTATCAGCCTTCTCTTACCTCAGATGCTTGACAGAATGTTGAGCAGCTCCTCTATCCAGTAAGGCTGTTGTCCAATGGCTATTTTTTACGCAAGTACAAGTTAAGCCTTTCTTTTTACCTCATTTCAATAAAAAATAATGGTGTTTGGTTTTTGTATCTAATGTATACATCTGTATGTTAAAGAATTCCCATTGTGTGTTTCTCCTGGCTGAACCCCACTGAGCATTTCTACCTCACTGAAAGTGGGCCATTTTAAACGTAATAACCAGCATCTCTCACAGTTAGCTTAACCCTGAGCACATTTTCCTTGGGGTTTGATAAGTATTTGATGTAAGTGAAGTGCTTCTATCCCCCATGACAGAAGAGAAGGAAGGTCTATGAGTGCTGTGAAGTAGAACGGCTTTTGGAATACATCCCAAGAACTTTAGTAAAATATTCTTTTCTGGGAACAGGACTATGTTCAAGACTACAGACAGAATAAAACAAAAGGCTCAAGTCACACTTTACCCAAGCAGAGATTCCAGGGTGAACTCAGAGTCAGCCATCAGCATGCCCAGGGACTGGCAGTGACTCTATAAAATCAACAAGACAAGAACTTTAGATGAAGATCACAGAATATTTATGCCAGCTGGAAATAATGGAAATGGTTTAGCCCAACTGCTGCATTTTGTTATTCCAATTTTCAGATAAATAACATCCAGCATGTATTGGAGCTTGTCAACAACTGACATTTAAACACATTTTTAAAGAAAATTCTATAATTCCTAGAAAAAACAAATAAAAAAATCTCCTCCAAGTTGTTATTTCTCCAAAACATGTTGGCCTTGAACTTTTCTTTGCAGTGTATCACAGATTTATTTACAAGATTTAACCAGTATTGAGAAATGCAGAAACTAAATATGCAAACTGTCATCAGAATAAAATCCACTTCTGCTCTCAGTCTTGGTGAGAAAAACAGCTTAGTGTCACTGAAGTACTGTAGGTTGAGCTTGAAGAGATAATTTCCCAAGGCTTTCTTAAAACAATGAAGTAGTACTTGAGAAAATTTCCTTTGGCCCCACAGAGTCATAAAGGACAGAATTTTTTTTTTAAAACAATCATTAAACAAGCAAACGTCTCCATTCTAAACATAAGAATTAATTCCTCGTCTATTTCAGTTTGTTTGGTGATAATTTGTTATATCTTGCCTACAGAAGGAAAATAAACACTGAAATCAACCTTTTACCTGCAGGAAATGCAAGCAATCTGTTTCAGCACAGAGAAGGGTGGTTAATGCCTGGACTGCTGCTCTGGAGCTTTTTGCTTTCTGCTTGCTCCTTTGCTCTTGCCACCAAGGTGCTGATAAAACAAACAAACCTCTCCTGCAGTTACAGTGGTCTCAAACACGCTTTCAACATTTTCCTGCGTGGTGCTTTGTTCTTGCCCAGCTGCTGGTGCAGTTTTGTGCAGCCCAGCGTGCAGGTCACACTCTGAACGCGCCAGGCAAGCCTGGGTCAGAGCAGCACACACAAAACCCTGCTTCCAAAGCCCAGCCAAAAAGAGAGCATTTGCTCTTTCCTGCAGCTCGGTTTGTGCCCTGAGCAAAAATAAAAGCATCAAAATGATTTTCTAAATTCCAGTGATTTGGAGAAGTGTCTTACTAGGGGCCAAATGCCTCCCACTGGTTCATGCACACTTGCATGTCAGTGTCTTAAGAGTCACACTTAAAAAGCATGCCTGGGTTTTTTTCTTGAAAGGAGGGATTTAGCTGCTCCTTCATTTTAGGTATCAGAGGCTGTTGTATGTTATATTTTCAGTTATGCTTCCCAACTGTCATCCAGTTAACACAAAGAGCTATTTCCCTGCAGTAGGATCTGTTACCAACACATGCTTCCCAACTGATTCTCCTGGCTTTGACTTAAGAAAGTTGTGTGTCCAGCTCTCCAGAGAAAAGGTTTTTCTTATCTTAGAAAGTCAAAAGCAAAATATGGGGTTGGGCAAGACTACTGAAAAAATGAAAGGCTTGTCAGAGTTCTGGATTACATGGCAAAATGTAAGGGCTCTTTTCCTGAAGGATTTTGCTCCAGAAATATAAATAAGCTTTGTCATATTTTAACCTTCCTTAGTGGAATAAGGATGCCAGTAAAAACCATAAACTCCTCAAAAAGCCCAAGCTGTTACATGCTAACAATCTCCACTTATGGAAATACAGGTTTTTACAAGCATAAAATAAATCTGTGTGAAATACTGTTAAAATACACAAATACGAATCCCATTTTAGAGATTTGGAACCAAAGGCAAAGTGAGTTCAGCATCTCAGCCAGAGAGAGGCCACGAGCAGAACCCAGTACCCAGTGAGGTGGAGTGGTGGGAGCACCACTGGATGCTCCCAACAGCCTGTGGAAAAGCAGCTCTCTCCATACAGAGGGATCTCTGATCCATTTTGTATGAGCTGCTGTTGACCTTCATATGAAGTAGCACAAACCTGAAACCATCACAATGTGACTTGCACTGTGATTTTGACAACAAAATGAAATTAACTAAAAGCTCATCATTAACAATCTTCACAAGTGCATGAAATAGCTATTTAAGCAGAGGCAATAATCTTTTTAAGGGTATAACATGATCTAACATCCATGATTTTGCACTTTCTTTTGTTAAGTGGTTCTTCCTGCAATTAGTGTCAGCACTCCTAGAAGTCAAAGATGAATATGCTTCTCCATAAGCAGGACTCCCAGTATTAAAAAGAAATTGTATTTAATGGATGTCTAAAAGGCAGAAACATGAATGAAATAGAAGAAAATGTATCTCAAAATAAAACCTAATTTGTAAGCCACCATGGTTAGTGGATGTTTACTGGCCTCATTTGAAAACTCCTGTTCCAGTCTCCCCACAGAAGATGTGGAGAGGGAGTTTAAATTTCCACCTTTTCACTTTGCTGAGCAGAGTTGTCTCATCTTTAAAAGGATGAATCAGAAAGGAGGCATTGCCTCTTCTACATTCCAAAAACCTATTCTTTCTCAAATATCTTTGGCTATTAGGAAGCAAATTTAGCTACTGATCTAATTTGTTTCAACTTATAAGTACTAATACCCAAGCAAGCATATGTTGAACAGGCTGGTTAAGAATATTTAATGAGAGTTTAGTTACTGATTTGTAAATGAAAAGTGCAAATGTGGCAGTTGCCATAGATCCTTGTAGTTCCTTGCTGGCACTGAGCCCAGCTAGACTTAAAAATATGCAACATATTGATGGGAGAAAAGGAGAAAAAATTTAATATTATGTGTAAAAACTTGCTGTGAAAAACACAATTCTGCATATGGGTCTTAACGTAAATTGCACGAGCAAGACAAAATAATTCTGAATGCATTTATGTATGCTTTGTGCTGATGGGATTAATGCAAATATTACAGTCACACCATAAATTTACAATGAAGTGAATGCCTACAGGCAATTCAGTTTTCTGTCCTTGGTAACTGTGAACAGAACTGTGTTCTGTTCTACATTTGTCAGCAAATGAAACAGTGAGGAATAATCTCTTCACTTGTACCTATCTCTTCATGACATTTCTGCCTTAGAACCAGGAAGGCCCTTTAGTGAAAAAGGAGCCACAGAGAAGACACAGCATGTTCTTGTTCCTGGAAGACAGAAGGAATGCAAGGAGAGTGAAAGGGCTGTTAATAAAACCTGACACTAATAGAAGTTAAACCTGCTGCATTCATAAATTATGACAAACTCCAGTACTTCCCTCCTCCCCCAATTATTATACCCATTTCTGTAAACTCTTGCCTCATTTGCTTTCCAAACCCCTGTCTAGGAAGTAAAAGAAGCCCTGAGAACTGGGCATTAAAAATCTGCTTCTGAAAGAGATGGTCAGTGCCCTCAGTTCCCATCACGAGGCAGGAAAAGTTATTTGAGATTGGAGAGTCCTCTGGGTGGCACTGTCCATGTGAAGATTCTCCATGTGAGGATTTTTTCCTGTAGCACAATCTGATCCTCCCACAACAGGTCTTGTGGGCACTGTCCCTTCTACCAGTCCTGAGAGGAACATTCCAGCTCTGATTATTTCTTGGAGAGCAGCTACAAAGCTGCCTCTGGGTCACACTTTATTCTCTTTGACAGGAAGCAACTCAGTAGGAGAATCCCTTCCCTTCCCTTCCCTTCCCTTCCCTTCCCTTCCCTTCCGTCAGCTCCTACCCTGCTCCTTGGACAGGTAGAACTTTTCTCTGCCACATATTCAAAGGCTACCTCAAAGTAATCCAAAAAGCAACAGGTATCAGAAAATGAAATACAGAATTAAACATTTAAACAAGCAAGTGCTTCAAAACACTTCCCAGACAACGTTAGCACTTGGTCACACACAGCATGTACTTTCCACCTTACACTGGGCAGAAAAGTCAGACTTTCATCACTATGCACTTCATTCCCTTTTACAAGTGTATGAACAAGACTGATAGTATTTCACACACATGAAAACTGAACCAGACAGCACTGACACCACTGTTTTGGCAGATCCTACGTCATAACCAAGAGTGAGACGGTCAGTGGACTTGGAATTTCAGTTTGTCATCTGGATTTTCACTTTCTTTCATTTTTTAAGTCACAGCCAGCACTCAGCAGTCCTGCAAGGCACAGCCAGACAAACCACAGCCACCTGTAAAGCCCCTGCTTTGTGCCTTTTCCAGAGACAGTCAGGAATACTGTGGGATCAGAAAGGATAAAATCCAGCTTTTCAGAAGAGCCTTTAATTTCTCTAATTCCCTGCATAGTTTGCAAGGGCCCCTTTTGGTCCCCACACACTGTCCAGGCACTGAATGCAGCACAAGCTGGTACAAAATCCCTCAGTATGGATTCGATCCAGCACTTCCACAGCCTGCTCAGCAGGAACTGCAGATGGAAGGGATCACTTTGAGAGCATCTTCAGAGCATTTACCATCACGCCCTGGCAGTAATCTGTCTGTGAAACTGGAGGTTTACATTTTGGTCACCTGTGGGCAGATTTACAAATTTACACAAAAACCACAAGTCTGCAGATAACAAAGTTCCTCTGCTACAGATTTTATGTCCTCGCTTCAGATTAGAAACCTTAGCACCTCAAATTAAACATCAAGGAAGTTTTAAAGGAGAGAAAAAAATATTCTTGCCATTTATCATTCCCAGAAATTCCAACTACTTTATATTATTTGTTTTCATTTTGCCTAATCTCCAAAGCTATAACAGATTAAAAAACAAAACAACACACTAGGCACACAAAATACTAGCACTTACCTTGAGCCTAAGATACTGAATTGGCAAAGCTATAAGCACTTGAACATGAATTTTTCAATAGAAAACCTCAGCTGGACACACTCCTGTTTATATTGTGTATGTTGAGGGCATAACCTTAAGGAATTAATACAATGCCATAGAGAACATTAAGACATCACACTGAAATATAAAAATCATTGAAGAGTGGAAAAGAAACAACAAGCCAGTATTTTAAAAAATTATTACATTTTAAAAGAAGTATATTATTTCAAGAACATTTTCTGTGAGTGGTCTGAGACTGACTCCTGTTCAAAGCACCCGTACACACACCATGTCCCTCGAGGACAGCAGGGCTGCCACAGGGGAGTGCTTGATTCATCCCTGGCATCCCCTGCCCAGAGATACAGAGTGGGTGATGGGCCACAGAGGCACAAATCCTCAGCCACACACGGGGCAGCAGCTCAGAGTCCTGCAGAGCTGCTTATGGGAAAAGCCCTCAGGTTAAATAGAATCTTCCACTGTCTCAGCTATGGCTGGAAAGAGTTATAAAGCAATTCAGATTTTTATGTGTTTATAGGTATTTAGAAAAATGTTTATGTACTCTAATTAAGTTTCTATAGTCCCTTCTAGTTCCTTCCATAGGATTTCTTGTCATCCCTGAATGGTTACACAGCCGTTATTAAAGCTGATTACACACCAAACAAAGCATCTGAGTGTAGTTATAAACCCTTTACAAGGAGCCATGATCTAATACAGGATCTACGTGGCTCATTAAGAATCTGAGGAATTACCCTGAAGAAATGTGCCTCTTTTATAGAATATTATTTGTGTAAAAAGCACTTTTATTGAGTTCTTAAATTACACTGGCGTATAAACTGCCAATCAAAACTGCCTATAAAGAACAAGCGAATGAATCTGGTGAACAGGCACAAACGATGAAGACGAGGGCTGAGAAATCAAATGAGTTACCACCATGCAACAGCATCTCAGGCAAAAGATACATTTTCTACAGGCAATAACATTTATTACATCTATCAGTTCAAGTCTGTTGCTACTCCAGCATCAACGAGTTCATTCAAAGTTGAAAGAACTTTAGAAGATACTTTAATGAGCATGCCCAAGCAAAATGGGAAATAAAGTTCAATGTCAACTGGAGTAAGAACCCATCTTCATTATCATCATGGGAGCCTGGTCACTTGGACTATGCAGGGAAACTGATGTAGCTGCTTATTTTACCAAAGAGAAATAACTTTTGACAAGATTGAATTTTGCATTTGTTGGCCTCTTGCTTCTAGAAAATGAATTGACCTCAAAAGCCAAGCATCCAAGTACACACAGGATCTCAGATGGATTCCTCCCTCCTGCTGCAAGCAGGTCAGCACCTCTCACACAAACTAATTCACTCCACTACATCCAATCTCATTCTGCCAACTCACATATTGGCAGATGGAGCTCCATTTTCTGGCAGCAGTGACACTTGTGACATGGGACACTCTTACAGCAGGTCTCTCAGTGCCACCTGTGACCTCAAGGCTCCCTCAGCTGAGCAGTTCCTGGCCATGTTTAAACAAAGCAAAACAACCCAACGCTTTCATCAGAGCGGTGATCCATGACTGCAGTGCTCTGCAAGGTGGTCAACAGCAGAAGAGACACACAGGCATTACAAACAATCACTAATAGCTTTGGTTTTTGTCACAGAAGTTTAGGTTGAGTAGTAGAAAGAGGTTTTCCACCCAGAGGGTGGTTGGGCACTGGAACAGGCTCCTCAAGGCAGTGGTTATAGCAGCAGCCTGACAGAGCTCAAGAAGTGTTTGGACAACACTCTCAGGGACATGCTAGGATTCATTGGGAACCATGCTAGGCTCCTGTGCAGGGTCAGGAATGGGACTTTGATGATCTTGTGGGTCCCTTCCAACTCAGAACATTCTAGGGTTCTTTCTTCATTACCACCACCAACCAGAAAACCTAATGCTTCATTTAATATAGACAGTCCTTTTAATAGCAACCAATACTGACATGCCATATCTAACATTTCTACTGCTGATAATAAGAAGTCCTCTATGTGTTTAGCATATTAATGTCAACGCATAACATTTTCAAAATAATCCTAATGACATAAGCAACTAAATAAGAGTAGACCCACAATCATCATAAACCACTTAACATCCTCTCAACAACATACTAGGCACCCCCAGGCTTACAGTTTATCTGAAAGTGTTAACCCAATATTAAGAACAAATTCTCAAATATATCAATGACTGTGCAGTGAAATAAGAAATGGCAGGAAATCAGAGAGTATCAGCACTTGTGACCAGCACCTTGAGGGTTGCCTGGCTCAGTGGGGCACTCAGCAGCTCTGCAGCCCAGGGCTTGCCAGTCCAGTCTGACCTGGGCTGGCCACAAGCAAAATCACCCCTTCATTTCCATGGGAGCCCATCTGTCCATCCCACACACAAGGAAAAAAAACCCTAAAGAACAACTAACAAGGAAGAGATGGGGATTTTCTTTTGTCATTGGAGACTAGGTCCAGAATGCAGCTGTGTACAAGATTTTAGCCATCATTAATGGCATTATGAATTTTTATTGAAAACTAAAGCAAGTCACTTCTTATAGAGTAGTTCTTATAGAAGTAGCCTCTAAGTTCTGTGTAACTGAAAGAAAAATAACCCAAAACTAAAAACAACACACGCACAATTAAAACCTGCACCTACAAAGCACGTGGAATTTTTAATTAAGAAAAAAGTACTTTGACTGAATGCATTATAACCAGGTACTGGTTCCTTGGGCTCTGAAAAGCTGCCTGAAAGAAAAAGTAGATAGCCATGTATTTGAAGCTCTGCCCTAAATCCACACCTATTCATATAAAGTATGAACTAGCTTAGCTGTTCAAACCAGATTTTCTCTTCAAGACCAAATTTTAAAGCTTATGTGAGATACTCATGACATGGTTTATTTATCATGTTTATATTTATTTATTATTTTTAAAATTTAGTATATTATATTTATTTTAATTTATTCTATTATATTTATTATTATATTTATTATATTATAATTATTATTATATTTATTAACCATGAAATCAGTTAACTTTGTCACATCAAATTGACTTCATTATTACATCTATCACTTTCTGTGAAGGACATTATTTGAAAGTTTAAAGAGCAAGGTATTCTTTTGCCTAAATGATGTATTGGACAGCAACTGTAAACATTTGAACACCTTCATACTGGAAATTTTACAGAATTCTTGCTACTTCTGTACATTGTACAGAAAAGCTTTCTCTGGAGTTCCAAAGGCTGCACAGCACAGTATTCATCCACTCTCATCTCACTGATGGGTTTAAAAATTACGTGTGTCTGCAAACTCGAGAAGCTTATAAACTTGAGAAGCCCTCCTCAAGCACTTCTAACAAACCTTCCCCTTTTATTGAACACTGCATGCTAGAGAAGAAAATAAGGTCATGACCAGAGATGTCAAATTAATTGCCTTCCTTATCTGAAACTGTTCTTCACTGCTGCTGGCCTTCAAGAAGCAACTCACAGTTCTCCCATGTAAGGCCACCTCTCTCCAATTAGCTCACACAGACACGCCACACAACAGAAATGGCTGCTGATAATCTCTGGAGTCACATAAACAGATTAAACTCCTTTTTATCAATGCCCTATAATACTACTCTGCCCATGCCCAAGCTTTGTCTCTTCCAGCCATTCTCTTGTCTTCATTTCAACCTTCTGTTTGTGACTGTTTCTGGGTTAGGGCTCACTCTGGCCTTGAATAAAGAACAATATTGCCTGCTGAAACCTGAAGTTAGTAAAGTCAAAGTTCTTTCCATATCCCCAAGTTCTTACTATTTTCCTTACACCTTTCACACCAATCTTTGAGCATGAATGTGTTCTCAGTGGCACTGACAGTGGAACCAAGATCTTCCCAACTCATGATTGAGTTAGGGTGAGCAGAGTGAGCTGCACAGGGGCCAACTCCCTCTTGAGGCTCC